ATAATATACTTAATTCGATCTCCTTATTCCTTCAGCGAGAAATTCAGCTATGGATGTTCGTTGTGAAAGTGAATGAACCGTATGTCTTGCATGGTTCACATACTTGCAGCATTACACTTTTAAAAGTTTTGTCATGCCAATACATATTTTGATTTTGATTTTGTCCATGGCGCTTTACATCAATAAGTTACAAATGATCTAAAAATTAAACTGAGTTGTTGTCAATAAAATATCGACAGGAAGGTCTAGAGTCGGGCTGACATCACGTTTCAAGATTCTTGCTTAAATTCTCTTTGCTATGGGGCGAAAAGAGACCGTCTGATTTGTTAAACAGAACTAAATTATTGTCCTACCAAAAGTGAATGACTGTTCATGGCCTATCAAAACTTTAACCTGTTGACGTAGCCATTCAATTATCTATTTCAACAGACTTAGAAGATATTACTCCATTTTGTATGTATACGGATCAGGCACAAACGGTTTTATACCTTTTTTATACAGTGGAATCCCGACTTCTCGAGCCTTCGGTTTCTCGAACCTCCTGATATCTCGAACCACACCTTGTTTCCCTTGGATTTGCTTTACTTGTAATTTCACCCCCGATATCTCGAACTCCCGGTTCTGACCAATTTGCGTTTCCCCTGGAGGTTCGAGAAATCGGGATTCCACTGTATTTCTTAAAAGTTTGAGTCTCTCTGTCCTGATAAAGCAAAAGAAGCTTACAGAGGGCGTGTCACACAAATTGGAAGCGCAAAAAGTAGACACACATGAGACTACCTCATTACAAAAGTCAAGCAAGATATTATAAGCTGTTTATAATTTCTAATTAGTATTGTCACATGTTCTCCACGGCCCATCATCGAGCGAAAGGTTTGTAACCATACTTTTATTTAAAACACTCGTAAAGCTTTTCAATACTCTACAACAGAAAAGCTCGAGGCTGCACGAAACGGGATGGAACGGAAGGTGTAACAACCTATTATATGGACTTCTGCACGAACCCATTAATAGGAAAATAAAGGTTTTCGTTAACATTTGTACATTTCGGGATGGCTACGGTCATTTTCACATTCACAGTGATGCCTTGGCCCATAACTGATAAAAAAAAGGTTTGAAAAACAAACAACTTTATAATAATTGGCGAAAATTTTTTGCCTCATCATCTCACACTACAACGACAAAGATCGGGACCGTGCGAAACAACATGCCCCTCTAGGGACTTGGTACAAGGTAGGCATATTCCAGCATTCATTTGGACGCAGTATTAACAACGTTGCGTGGTAAATGTCACAATATTCTGTTTCTCAAAGTATCGGAATGCCTCGCACTCGTTTACCTCTTAAGAACACCTTCCAAGGAATATTAGAAAGACTACCGGCTCAATCTCACGGTCTAATCTGTCGAGAGCTCTTAGATAATTGGGAGGTTAAGAGCGTGGTATCGCGGTGACGAATCAGGCTTCAAAAAAATTTGAACGAGGAATTAAGTTTAACAGGTTTATATTCTTCTGTGTCTTCTGTGTTATTTTTCTTGCTGGATCAACTCGAGGTTAGAGGGATTACAGACCATAATCGCAAAAAGAATTTTTCTAGAATTCGATAAAAGAGAGGCTTGTTCAACAGTTTCCTGTAGTGATTTTCCGCGGGACTTCCTCGTTTCTATGTGGACACCCACTTATGAAAGTAATGAATTTTTAATTATTGGCTACGATGTACGGCTTCCGCGCACCTAAAAGGACTGCACAAGAAAAACCTTCCTAATGTTTCCTCCCTTTTCAATGATACATTATTTTTTACCCTCTATCTAAACTGAATGAGGAACTGGAACTTGCGAAGAACAGATAGGTGAGCCAAAGGAAATTTCTGTAATGTAAGTGACGCTAACAGTGTTGTTTACATGATCCAAACAGGCCCCGACTAGCATCTTCTTCGACGCGGATATTTCTTGCGCAGTAAAGTTGTCCAATCAAATGATCGTAATGAAACAATGCAAGAGTTACACCAACTGGTTCATCATCATAATAGAACATTGCTACCTCTCCATCGAACAGTGTAAGACGCTCCGAATAATTATATGTCTACACAAATCGTAAATAATATAACCGCGTCTGTCTCGCTAACTTCGCATTCCGCGTCGGTCAAGAAAACCGGAGGGCGAAATACGACAGTAAGATAAATAGCAGAGTACCTAAGAATCGATATAGAGTTACCTCGGAGAAAATTTCTGGAAAAATTTCGATTTCTTTTTTGAATCCCTTTTGAAAAATAAAAAAAAATATATATATATAAAAAGCGCGGGGCCTTTGTTCCCTGGATTCACTGATAATACGAAGTGAACTATTTCCAGGAAAACAATCTAACTAAAATGAATAAGTGAACGATTTATGCCACAACTGGAGTCTAAGTGTTAAGAGAATTAGAAGTCATCGCCGAGAAGACTCTCGAAAATTAAGCCGAGCACAGCACACGAGGAAATTAGACGCCAACAAAGCATCATTGAATAGACATGAATAATATAACGCGGCGAGAGGGACTTATGGTTTTCCAACCGAACGCATTCGATGGATTTTCCGGGTAAGTTAGTCGTTTTCTTTCGCTAACAAAGAAGCACACACCAAGAATTTTTAGACCATTCATTTCAGGTGTTCGACACAGTTGTAGGTTTGGCAAGATACAGAAAAATAAACAGAATGCAAATAATCAGAATATGTCTTGAGGCTTCTCGTGGAAGTTGACGTTTTGAAATGAAGATCGTGTCTTCAAAAGTTTGTTTTTCCAGCTCTAGGTTGTTTACATTCTCAATTACAAACTAAATTTTGATTGGCTACTTTTCCCTATGAATTAAATAGTTCACCCTGAAGCCGTGAGTAGACGAAACAGTAACCAGAGTATAACAAAAATTCCGAATGCAAATGTTTGGACCCCAAGATCTAGATTTTCTTTGGCTTGCACCTGCCATATTCAGTCTCTTATTTATATTTACATATTCAAACGATTTACATCACAACCCATTTTTGTGAACGCAAGATTGTTTTGTGGCGTGAAATTAAAGATGGGCTAAAGGGAAATTCCATTATGCAGTAAATGGTTTGAACCCGGGGGTAACATGTGAAGGCGTAGTCTGATCGTCCGGGTGAGTGTAGTCCTGAGAAGGACTGTTGTCGGTGGCAGTGACTGACGTTTCGACAACCTGTGCGGAAGTCATCACTTGACTCTGATGATGACTTCCGCACAGGTCGTCGAAACGTCAGTCACTGCCACCGACAACAGTCCTTCTCAGGACTACACTCACCCGGACGATCAGACTACACCTTCACAGGAAATTCCATTAGTTTTTAAGATTTTAAAAAAGGCTCAAGATCACTTTTCAGCAACAGTATTTCATGCGCGGTTGGATCCAACTGCTAGTGTGTGAATAAGATAATTTCTTGATGAAAATCGTGTCAGCCAATTAATCAGAGGGTTTTAATTCATAGTTACTAAACGCATTCATCTCAGTACAAAGTAATGGTCAACCCGGAACTTTAATTTCAAATGTACGGCCACACGATGCAAAACTTGTCCTTTCATTTATGACGTCGAAAAAACCAATGGGATCCAAGCGATCCATTAAGATTAATGATCATTCCCCGTGCACCTATACATTGGTGAAACAGGAAGACGACTAGGTGACGGATTCCGTGAACACCTTCTTGACGCATAAAGGAACGATAAGGACGCATCAAACTAGAGGCTAGACACTTAAATCTCCCTAATCATTCTAAGCATATAGCATAAGGAAGTCTGCCCTATTTCCTTTCATCTAGGCATTAAGGAAAGCCACAAAGCCTTAGAACAAAAATTTTTCTTTCAAATGGGCACTCTTAATTCTCACGGTCTCGACGAAATATTTTCATTCAACTAATTTCTTCTTTTTCTCGTCACCATGTTCCCACTAATAGCATAGCTAGCTCCATTTTCTGCATACAAACACATATAATCCACAATTCCTCAATTCGCTCTGACGAAGGGCTAACGATGAAAACGTCAGCTTTAGAAACTCTTTATGGTGGCCAATTTACATTATCAACTCAGTTGGCGAGACCAAATTATCTTTTTCTACCCCCAACCGACGCAGCAACACAGTTTCTATAGAAACGTACCCTCTTTGTTCATTGCCGCGTAGCGAGCGTAGCAAGCGAGCAGGAACATAATCGGGACTTAAGAAGAAAATAAAGGGGGAGTGAATTCTCCAATTCAGTAATTTTACTAGGGTACACAGCATTTAACCAAAGTTTACTGCGTCACGTTTGTTGTGTTCAGTGTGTTGCGTTACATAGCGTTACTAGTGTGTGGGCATTTCTATATATTTCAATCGTCTTGTAAATCTAATTTCCTAAACAAAGGCAAACTAACTTTTCGCGAATTTTGTGTGGCAAATCTGCTATCTTGACCACTGAATGAAGGACAGTTGAATCAGAGCAACAAAAGGAGTCACTTGATCAATGAATAATTGTACCTTGCGTAAGTTGACACGCCGGTAAGCCGGAAAGCAAAAGAGGTTTGATAGGCCTGTGCGACTCCTGCCATTCTCTAGCGCTTTTAAATCTTCTGCCCTAAAAGTGAAGCTCTCATCAAGAAGCTCTTAAGACTTTCCTTTACGATGTGATAATAAGGGTTAGTTCTAAGATGTCATTTCCCCATCTAACGACTTGGTCTCAAGGGGGCTTCATTTCGGTTTCAAGTCTTATTAAGATTTGCTTGTTTTATATTCCATCATGTGATCATCATGCAGCCATCAGCTCGTAATCACGAGGCTTGAACTGAGAGCGGTGTACAAGCTTATCTATCTGCAGTTAGCCTGTTTTAACGGGAATTATCAAGAAATACGTAGAGACCACAAGAAATACATTCTGGCAAGTACCACTCGATTTCAAACTAATTGATACAATAATGCAGCAATGTTGGCAAACTGAGGATTTCGAGACTTAATTGAACCCTTTCCGGTCCTTTGTAAGTAACTTCCGCACAGTCTTGGAAACTCTGGATAATAGTTTGCAAGCCTCTAGTATTTTTGGGGCCATGATGTGGACATTTGCCAGTTATTGTTTGGAAGCAAGCCAGAGAGGTTCAAACCTCTCGTAGGACAGCCATTCGTTTTCACGGCTCTGTCGTACAGCTTGTCAAAGCGCGCACATAGCCATCGGCTGATCAAGTCACTACAATAACAAGTACCTCTCTTGTGAATAATAGCAACCACATTAGCTGGCTGAATGGCGGTGAATGTCAGCTGCATATTAAGTTGATATTTTTGATTCATCATGTAATAATTTTAATTTTCGGCGCCAAAATCGTTTTTATTCATTAGAAGTCCACCATTCCGCACCAGCACGTTACAATGGCCACGACCTCCTCGCTAATGATTTCTCTATGGTAGATATTAATAATGTTATCTAAAGCTTTGTATATCTAACATCGTAGCCTGTTTCACGAGACACTCTATTTGAGTTTCATCATGCACATTTTCAAACGCGTGCTTATAAGAGTGTAACAGATTTGGCGCCAATCTAATCTCACATTTAAGAAGGGAACTTGAGGTGTTGTAGACTTGTTAACGAACTTTGTATTTTGTGATCTTTCCTTATAGTACGGAGGTAACTGAACATGGACAGAAGCTGCTCATGCGTTCCGAGTAAACGGACAAACGAGGTAGCAAACTTAGAAATTTTGCAACAAAAGCTTACTCGTGATTCTCCTTATGTTTCAGTGATTGCAATCTTGAAACATGCGAAGGGAAATTCACTTAAGCGTTCCACAAGCGAGTGACAATCTTCTGTTTTATGCCCGCTGGTGGTGTGGTACTTACAGCATGTTCTGTCGAAATATCAGCAAGTTGACTTAATCATATACTATACTGAGTATAAAAAGATTCATTTGCGTGAGAATTGCTGCCCATTGATAGCCCTTTGACTCGATTAGATATAAACAATATGAGTAATTTGAATAATGGCCAAGCTAAGCTTCTTAATCTGTATAGAACGTAGGAGGAGTTCTCTTTCCTTCTTAAAAAAGAGCGTCCGAAGCTTTTCGCTCGGTTTCTATTTTTTGTAGGTTATATCCTATCAAATGATTCAAACGTAAACAAACCCAGGAGTGTTGGATGACATGGAGTGACGAACCGGTATGTATATAAGGATGATAATGTTGCCTAGTGTGACGCGTTTATGAATAGAGTCAAAATGTCTTTGTTAACTACATTTCAGTTTTAATTTCGAAACCCATCTTTTAATTCTGAATGATTCTCGAAACCAGTCCCATGCGTAAGATTAATGAAAAAATTAAAAAACCAACGATGAGCGTAACTTTAAACTAAAAAAATTCAGTTATCGACTCTCCTGAAGTGTCAGAATAAATCAGGCCTGGTACCTGTCCAAATCAGCCGGTTGCAAATACTCTAGTTGTTGATTTTCTTTCTCATCCAGCCGTCAAAATTGCCACTACCCAAGCCAAGTAACTTCAGTTTTTCATTTCGTATTTTGGCTTCCTTTCGCCTCTAGGAAAATAATGTCGAAGGTCCATGTCTGCGAGTGAAACGAATTTTTCTGTGTTTTTAGCAGCCATGATCCGAGAAAATATCAACAAACGACCTTGAATTAAGAAAGATGAACACTTTGCCATTCAGTCATCAACCGTGACAGCAGCTGATTGGCGAGATCAAACATACACGAAATAGCCAGATCCCAGATTTTTTATAGCGGGTGGATGCATTCAAACGCCTTCGTGTTGACAAAACGATGAGATGAACGTTATAAAAATTTTCAGACCGTATGGGTCAATCCTTTGTAACGATTCCGAACCTTGCGTTAAAACACTTCGACCCAGCGCAAATTTAGCTGGGACAGTAAATACTCTTTTCACCCAGCGTTTGGAAATTCTGCATGTACATGTACAATCCGCACAACAGAGAATAAAGATCAGCATAGGTAATTTACGCCACAGTCCCCCGAACTAAAATGTCGAATTCCCAGAGTCGCCTCTTGAAAGTGCCGACGATTAAATCGAGGACTCGAGTGATATACGGAATTTTTATACCATACACTGATGTGTGCTCAAAGGTCGAGGACACAGGCTTCCAATTTCGTTCTGCCTCTACCAGAACTGAGTGACATCACTTCAGCATGTGGCTGTTGAACGTTATCGCATACATTCTGTTATCCCTGTCAAATGACAGCCTTCTTGCTGCAGAATATACAACACGCAATAGGCCACATAATTACTTGAATCTTGCTCAAATCTTGTGGAGATGTCAACTAGATGAAAACGACGTCTTTGCTAGCACTCAGCCTGTTGTAGGATAGATGCAGGCACTGCGCGCGTTTTTGAATTTTTTCGGTAAAAGACAACTGATCAAGTAGGGAATTCGCACAAAATTTGACAGGCTTTCAACCGCCGGATATTTGATCGGTTAATCAGTCTGCAGAAACTTTTGATCGCATCGGAAGCAATCATGCGTGGACAATAGATATTACAATTCGAAACGCGGATCTTGCGTTTATATCATTCACCAAGATAAACACATCGTAAGATGGAAATTTTAATACGAAATGTCGAGAGATGTCGAAAAGTATATCAAAAAGTGTATTCGCAAATATGCATGAAACAATAGCTGCCATTACACTGAAATCATGAAATAACAAATCCTAAGAGCGTACAATGGGTCAAGAACCTCTCGTTTATTGCACCTTTAAACCCATAGCCTTTCGGTTCGTGATTTGAGATTTTTCCCTTTAATTTTCTTCCAATATCACGCCGGTAAACCGATAGAAAGTGCTGTCTATTGCTTATGTAATTGGCTGGAGAAAGCTGGTTTCGAAAGTTATTAAAGACGAGGAAATAAGGTTTTCGAAATTAATACTGAAAACAAATTTAGCATAGTAATTTTGACCCTGTTGACGCGCCATAGTCGAGACATCCAATCCATTATACTTCTATGACAAATTTGCTCGCTACCAACGGCACGTAACAGCCGAGTAATGGGAGTCCAATCGTGGACGAGCGCGAATGAAGATACTTTGCCTTGTGTTTCTACGTCAAATCAGTGTAAAATCTAACACTCAAATAAACATAAATGGTTGTCATGGCGTCTACAGAACAGTATTCCTTCTTCAGGCTTTCGCTTTCTTTTCCCGCATCGGGGGAACAACTTGATGATAGGTCACGCAAAGTGTTTGGAGGGTGCGTTCACTTAAAAAGTTATAGGGAACTCTTTCGAAGAATCGAAAGGTTTACTTTAATTTGAATCGAAGGTTTACATCAAGTTGAGACTAGTCCAAGCGTTTAAATGAGGATAAGTGTCATGTTATAATGAAGAAAAGAACCCTTAGATGTGCTTTACAATTATCAACATCACGATCAATATCATTTTAGTTAAAGGATGTTACTCCCTCTTATGAATCAGCTGTTCTTTCTCTGTCATAGAAACAAGAAAAAATGGATCACACTGACAGAGTCAGCGACAGAAGTTCGCTTATCAAATTCTTTACATTAGCAGTTAGCGATCTGCAAGAGGGGAACTTAGTTGAAGCGAAGAAATCATTGCAAAAAACTCACTGTTATTTCCTACACTTGGCGCCACGTGAGTTTTCAAACCTCAGTTTGCAAGAGATAGAAATAATAAGCAAGGCAGAGAAGATATCGGTAGAGAATGTGGCGTGGAGTTTTCGAACTGGAGCTATTTTGTTGCCCCAAACGTCGTCTGACCTATTTGTGCGCTTTACCAACGCATTTGGCGTTGTTGCTTTGAATATGACTTGTGTAGATATAGCTGAGAATGTACTTGAGCAATCAAAAGAGTACATTGAGCAAGCCGAAGAATCAGTTATAAGCCCTGGAGTTGCCCTTAATAACTTAGGTTGCGTGTATATGATCAAAGGAAGTTTTCAAAAAGCAAAAGTTAGTCTTCAAAGAGCTCTTGAGGTAGTCAAAAAAGGAAAGCAGCGTGTCACGGCTGAGGAGACAATCGTAGCAATAGGTAATAACTTACGACTGGTGTATCAGGCTCAGAGGAACCACATAGCTGACTTGCAATTACAAAGTGATCTCCTTTCCAATGTAAGCCGCTGCACCATACAACCAAGAATCATTGCAGTTGTTGACTACAATAAAGCCCTAACCTCTGTAAATAACAGAAATTTAAGAACAGCTTTGGACGAACTGGAGAACTTGAAAATATTTTGCGACACAGAATTAGACCAAAGTAAGAGAGTGTTAACCTGCATTTTGTTAAAAATGTATCTAATTCGTTTGATGCTAAAAGCCTCTAGTGGGACCACGACAGTTATTGATACTAAGATTTCGACCTTGCAAGGGCTGAAGGAACTTGTCGATAGGAGTGTAAACTTTTCCTTAGACTTACTAGTCACGATTGTGGAGATTGTGGCCGACATTCACCTTTATAAAGGCAATCTTGACCTTGTCTGTAGCTATTTCTCGTACCTTGAAGCGGTTGTTCGTGAACGTTGTGGTGCGGATCACCCAACAGTTGCTTCTATACTGGCAAAGCAAGGACATATTTTCCTACACTTGGAAAACGTTGCAGACTCCAGGAAATGTTTCACCGCTGCATTGGAGATTTTCACCGAAGCTTTTGGTGCTGTTCACCCTGATGTTCTCAAATGTAATGCAGGTCTTGCGAGGCTGGAATCGCTATGTGGATCTGAAGAAAAATCTTTAACACATAGTCAAAGAGTTCTGGAAACTGTAGAGAGGATTTGCCAGGTGTCTTTTGAGCGTCAACTGAAGCCAAAAGTCATAGAATTGTTTCAAAGAAGTGGAAGAACACTTTCTCCTGATACAGAAAGCGAAGAGCAAGTAAAATGTGAAAATCTGGTTTCCGAGTTTGGGGTAGAAATAGCCAGGGTTGTCAACCAGCATCAATCGGGTGATCTTGACGACTGTCCAGGAGTACTCTCAGATAGTGAGGATTGTTTGGATTCCTCCGTCTCTCAGCTGTTTGGCGAGGATCTATGTACAAAGCTGTGTTTGAACTGGCTGAAAGCTGGTCTTTGTTTGTTCAATCTTGGAGCAAAACAAAGTGTCGCGTTTCTCTTTCTCTCGTGTACATATGCAAGTATGCTTTATGATAATTGTGAGTGTTCTGAAGTCATTTTACTGAAAGTAATTTTTGTTGTGTGTCATCTCAAATCCAAGACGAATCAAACCCTCCTGGAAGTTAAAGAGAGATTAAAAACTGAATTCGGACGGTTGAAGAACTTCATCGAAGAAAAAGCGAAGAGGGTTGATGAACTGAAAAGGAAAACTATATTTTTTGACGAAAATACAAACTTGATGATTTCTTTAGCAGTAATCCTTCAGTATGTTATAGAAATGGAAATTTACGAGATGATGGACGCTGTGCATAGTCTGTTTACTTTACTGTCAAATGAACAGTCTACGCAGGTAGCTCATGTATTGCTCGTTGAAGAGATTCGGTTTGCGTTTTTTATCTCAAATATCCAATGTGGCGGCAAAAAATTCATGCATGATCTGATTTTTCTGACGCCTCTTGGCATGATGTACAATCGAAAAATCACTGGCAAAAAAGATGAAGATGCTCCCCGTAACTTTCAAAGTAAGGAGCTTACAAAATCTCTACATAAAGATGACAACTTGGGAGAAAGGGGATCAACGAAAACTTTCAAAACTTTGTTGCTCAAATCGGACAATACTAAGTGGAAAGGACCTTCCAGTTTCCTCGTGGAGTGCCCAATAACTCGTGGAGTTGATGTTTCAGCACTTAATCACATAAATGCGTGTAGTGTGAACGCAGCAGAAGACAGTCTGCCTCATTTGATCTTATGCAGTCATCAGAATATAGAGTTTGCGACACAGTATTTTATAGAATTGGAACTCCTTGACTCTTCGGAGACCTCTCTTTCTGAGATTTCTGGTGGTTTTTCCCTTTTGCAACTCTTGCTATCAGCAGCCAAGGATAGATCAGAATTTGAAACGCAATCTCCGCTTCTCGTCAACACAGAGACTACTTGCGAAGGAAACCTAGAATTTATTTTACAAGACAAAGTAATTGTGAAGTCATTATTCACAAAGCTTTTAAAGCGAATTTTAACCAACGAGGACGAGCTTGGTGAGGTTTTGAATGTGGTTGTCAAAGATAGCCAGCTCGTGTTGATAGTCCAAGGTCCACCCATTGGGCAAATCGTAATGCAGTGCCATGAAAACACCATCAAAGTGAGGACCCAGTTTATTCACTTGTCTCAAAACCGAGGAAAAAATGAGATTGTCCAAGAAGTTCCACCGTGCAATTGCTCTCTCATTGAGATGGTCATCGCTGACAAAATGGAAAAATGTGCTCGTGCTTTTGGAATTCATTTCGAGACACAAAGTGATAAGTCCTGGTATATTGCTTCAAATCTTCTTGGAAAAGCAAGGGATATTTCAATGAGAGTAAGTGTTTTGAACGTTGTCTTTATCACTGTAGGCATAAAATTTGTTTTTTAACAATGGTGACGCCGAACCCTTGTTATACGACTGTGTATTTACTAAATGCAAAATCCAGCTGCTTACCGATGTAAAAAAATCGCAATAATGACAAGGTCGGAGTGAAAATGTTTCCTTCGGCTTTATCAGCTTTCCTCCAGGATTTATGCATTACATCAAAGAAATTTAAAATTTTTTCTAAAACAAAGAATATATGAAAGACATATAATCTGAACTGCGGTTATGAAACGTATGTGTGCACGATCCTCGCAGTAAAGCACTATTTAAGCAATAGTCAGAATCAGACCTGAAAAAATTAAGGCCTGTACGGGATTCGAACCACTGACCTCTGCGATACTAGTGCAGCGCTCTACCAATTGAGCTAACAAGTAAACTGGGAGCAGGCCATAATATTAGTTCGACATAAACCCGCAAGGTGATAAATAAAACACAAAGAATATATATGAAAGACATATATCTGAACTGCGGTTATGAAACGTATATGTGCACGATCCTCGGAGTAAAGCGAGGTTACGCGGTTCGAATCCCGTACAGGCCTGAATTTTTTTCAGGTCTAATTCTCACTATTGCTTAAATAGTGCTTTACTGCGAGGATCGTGCAAAGTTTTTTCTCTTTTAAACGAAGGAAGAGCTTTTCTTTACCTTAAATCCTCACAGTAAGATCAGAGGTTAATGTTTGGCTATGTTATAATTTTTAATTCGTTCCGTTCTTAGGGGCACCAGACGCTGGAACTGCAGCATAAAACCGAACGTCCGGGCCGTATTACTTCTCCTCCACCCTTGCCTCTCAGACAATCGTTCCTGTCGGAATCATGGACACAAACAGATTCCTTGAGTATTCCTTCAACATCTGATCTTAGCACCCAAACGGATCTCAGTGACTCTGATGAGTCTAAAAACCCGGTAGATCCCACATCATCATCTAGTGAAGTAAGTTCGTCATCCTCATTACCTTCATCGTCATCGTCATTATCATCTTCATTGTCATCATTACCTTCACCATCATCATCTTCCGGTGAAGAAAGTACTGAAGAGGTCTCAAGTGGGCCAAGGTCAGAACCAGCAGAGAAAGGTAAATCTTCAGTGCATTCCGTCTTTTCCTGTGCCTCAGAATTGAAGAAAAGCGGAAGAGAAGTTCCAAAATTTGCAAATTCAGAGGAAGAGAGCCTTAGCATGGCTTATCCCAGTGTTTTAGAATTCAAATACACTAGCAATGACACAGAGAAAGGTGAAACAAATCAACCACCACCAGTATCACCATTAAACTTGAAAGTTCAGACGGATGGTAAATTACGTGTGAGTAAAAAACACCTTGACAAGTCTATTCACACCGATGATTGGCTAGGGAATTCTATGGATGATGAAGTTGATGGTTCAGTCAAAAGCGCCGTGCGTAATATAGCTGAAATCCAAAACTGTCAACCTTATTCCTCGACAGGATCTGTTGAACCACCTTTTCAAGGGGAAGGTGCTGTAGCTGACAACCTCCCACGACTGAATACCGATAAGATGAAGCGACATGGTGGTGCTGTTGCCGCTGCCATAACAAGTCGGTGTAATGATGCCATGGATGAAGACCGACGAAATAAAGAACGTAAAACCCATTCGAGGTCGCTGAAGGTTTCTCAAGAGAGGAAAAGCACGAATACAGGGGATCTATCAGAAAGAAGCCACAACACAAGGCATGGGACGTTTCTAGGCTTGGAGGGTGGAGGACAAGATCCATCTTGCTCTGACAGGCGATTAAGTTACAAGAATCTTGAATCAATTACTTACTGGAACGATAAAGAGGCAAAGCCTGAGAAGGTTCGACCACGAGGAGGTGATATACAAAACACCATGGATGAAAAAGAATCAAATTTCTTTGGTATAAATCCTTGCTTTCTTGCTCGTCACACAGACGACAGTAGCATTAACACTCCTATCGATGATATAGGGAATACAAAGGAAAACGCCAATGGATGGTCTTCCAACACCTGCTCAAGGCATCAAGGGTCGTCTTGTTTCAACAATGAGGAGGGCTATCAAAGTATATACTCCTTTCAAGCGCCATCGTTTGGATCTGGACATCTCCAAACCCTTTCCAGTGATGTCCCGGGAATTGTAGTGGTACCTCCGTATGCTGAGGTCAATGATGACACGCTGTTGGCCCAAACACCCCTTTCGCCACAACAGAGAAAAGTCAATAATCAATGTATTGATCCTGTGGTACAACGGGAGAGAAACTGTGATTTTAAAGTAATGAATGGAAATCCTGCGCGTGTATCTAATACCACCCCAATTACACAAGGCCTGGTCTCTCCTGAAATGGAAATCTCTGCTCTACCACAAGGAGCCAAGAACAGAAATCTGACATGGGAAAAAAGGACATTTGCAAATCAGGATACTGATAACCAAGGGCCATTGGGTGTCTTGAACAATAATTCGTTACAGTCATGTGATGATTCCATAGCTGACCTGGAGCGAAGAGTGGCTGACACTTGTTCCTTTGTCCAAAAAACCTTGAAAGAAAGGGAAGTAAAAGAAAAGGCGATGAAGGAAAAAGAGCGAAGAAAAAAAGAAGAGCGAGCCAGGAAAGAGCAACAAGCACGTGAAAGAAGAGAGAGGGAGGCAAGGGAAGCACGACAAACGGAATGCAGCAATGACACAGAAGAAGCCAGAAACCCGACGAGCGGTGGAAGAGAAACACCTTCGCAAAACACGGCTGGTGCTGAGGGTCAACAATGGTTGTGTGAACATTATCAGCGGCTTTGCCGTGTGAAGTTCCCATGCTGCGGAAAGTTCTTTCCTTGTCATCGTTGCCACAACAACTCTGGGTGTTCAAATGATAATTCCAAAGCAAGAGAGGTATACTTTCTTGAGTGCTCTATTTGTGGCCATCAACAAGAGGTATGCAGACATGTCACTGATGCAAAATGTTGTAATTGTGTACAGAGGGTCGCATTTAAACTTTATGTGATTTGCTTTTTATGGTTGATTTTTTTTAGATCAACCAGGACGCCCACACCTGTGCCAGATGTAAAACAAGGTTCTCGGCATATTTCTGCTCTGTATGCAAACACTTCACAAGCACAGACAAAAATCCATATCACTGCACAAAATGTGGGATCTGCCGGTACGTGAAATGATATTTAAGACGTCATTCCGCGTTTTTTGCTTGTTTGTTGACCTGCCTGCTTCAATACCAAGTATTACCGTTGGAATGAAGAATTCTGGTGCCAGCCTTAGGGCGAGAGCAAAATTTAGCATGAGAGAACGCCAGATCGATCCGCGCATGAAACTTACCACTACCAGTGTTTTTTACTTTCGCCATTGCGAAGTCTTATTCATAAGATATTGAGCATGACTGAATATCAGCTTTTGTTTCCTCATAGGCATCCAGTTTCCTTTTCAGCAGTTCGTAAATCGAATCGAGTAAAAATACAAGTGTTTTATTTTGCATCAGAATTTAATTTCTCATTGAGTCATGTGAGTTCTGCTCGAGTATTTGCCTACGAAGTAATGTTTTTATTTTCGGTTCAGCATCTTCAAGGACCGCTCCTTCCACTGTGATGTGTGTAACGTTTGTTTGGACAAACGGCTGGAAGGCAGACATTCCTGTCGAGAAAATTCTGGACATGACGAGTGCTGCATCTGTTTGGAGGTAATGATTTACTCTTCGTATTAACTCTGTATTGCTGCAGTACTTCTAGAGAAGGGGTTTTCTCTGTTTTGTTCGTTTCACCGGGTTTTGTGTTTGTCGCGTCTGCTAATTGTCAATGTTTGTAGATTTTGTCATCGTTTGTACTGTCACAGGTTATATTGCATCGTTGTGAAATGTTATGTTATTTGTTTTGTCCTATCTATAGATTTAGAGTTTTAGATCATTATATATGTACAGTTAATATAGAGAAGCTGAAGACTTGTCACTACAGTTGAGTCTGGACATCATTAAGGTAAATGTTCTTCGTACCAATCTTAATCTTAACCGTTGACGTTTCCTTTTATTTGCGTATAGTAGGAGCGCGGGCTTTTACAAACTTGATAATACCTGAGTATACTTAACACGTTCCGAACCTGTATTTCCAGGATGCGTTCAGTGGCTGTCAAATCCTGCCATGCTCACACAAGGTTCACAGAGAGTGTGCAATAGCAATGATACAAAATGGCGTGTAAGTATGCTCAAAGTGACATGATTTTTTCATCAATGAACTAACGTAGTGAAAAGCGCTTAAAGTCCACTTTAGCTCTGAATTGGGTTTGTATGTGGAGTTTTGGGTGAGGAGCAGTTGGCCAACGGGAGGTGTTCATGAAGCAATTTGTTATTGAGTGTCGAAATTAGTTTTGTTTCGCATTGATTTTGCCCCAGCTTCCTATCCGATCAGTTTAGCTGCTCGATTTTTTTCGCGTTTTCCTCTCTCTGTGGCAGCTTTGGTTTGTTTAGATCAAACCTCACAGGTTCCTTATGATGTTCACTTTTGATTGGCTGTTGTGATCATGTTGGTTTTGGTCAACGACACTCGAGAAAATATTTCTCTTTGTTTGCAGCCTTGGAACAGTTTTAAATTCAAAGTAATGTTAAGTCATTTGATGGTTTTGCAGACTCTTTTAGTTTTAACCGTGATGTTACAATTAATTTTATGACCTATATTTTTTCACTCTTATTCGAAGAAAGTTGGATTCATGAAATCTTTCCTTTTAATTCGCAGTCGCAGCTGCCCAATCTGCCGTCATCCTCTATACAGTCAGACAGGTGGCATGAGTGATTGACAGCCTCTACCCAGGCCCTTCTCTTGTTCCTTCAAGAAATTAGAGAGGATCCAGGGAACAAAGCGTGGTGGATGTTTTTAATCGTGAGCATTTTCCAAGGAGTAATGTTCACGAAATTTCCTTTTTTAATTGTTTAATGTTCATATCGTGTTCATATAGTGTTAAAAATTCTATAACAGCCTTTGATTGAGGATAGGTGGTCTGCTCATTCAGGTGAGAGTAGTCCTGAGAAGGACTGTTGGTGGCAGTAGAAACTGACGTTTCGACAACCAGAACTCATCATTAGAGTCGACTTACGCTATGATTGCCAAAATATCAGTAGTACCTACTCGGGACTTCTCTGACCCGGACGATTAGCCTTCATATTCATATTTTACTCCGGTTTCTAATCCATTTACTGTGTAACCTTTATCTAATTGGACTGATCAGCACTTTTTTTTTATACTGATTAACGTTTGACATTTCAAATAGGAATAAAAAAAAAAAAAAGGTCTACGTGAAACATGTGCAGGTGATTTGGGATCTCAGCACTCAAAAATGTTTATCGCCGGTTGTCAAATATGGACATTTTTTTCACTGTCTACCCTGAGATGGATGTGGAAAAATAATTTGTCGATGTCGATCTTGTTCTTCAGTGAAGAAATTCTGGTGACAGATCTCCCCAACCTTATGTATCTATACTTCATTTTCATAAATTATAACTTGAAGTGACAGACATGACTCTTGTTCAGAAACACTTCTTGAGTCAGCAAAATTTAGTCGGTCGTTTTATTTCAATGACTTGAATGGATTCACTACATGTTTTTTTTTTTCTTGATCTGAATGAACGTCGTGGTTCATTTAGTAGTGAATGTGATCATAAGATACTCATTTGGAACGAGACTCCAGAAGAAAAAAACAAAATGGAACTAATATCATCGATGTTAGTATGTTACGGGCTCCTGTATCCAACCTTTTTTTTTTTTATCTGAAGTGCATTAATAAGAACTCCAGTTCAACTCAATACAGTATTCCTTTCTTATGCGCAAGTACTGAAAAGCTTTCAAGTTAGGAAATTTCATAGAACTATTGGCACAAATGTATTGTTTACGAAAGTGGATTTTAAGGATCGCGATGAGTGCTTTTTCTGTGATAGTAAACATGAAACCATAGAGCACCTCTTTTGGTGTTGTGACCGGATCTTGGGAGAAAACAAAAACTGTAGTCTAGTTCTCCATTAAATCTGTTCTCTTGGACTACACAAAATGTTTTCCTTGTAAAATGTAATGAACTGAATTATTTTAGTGGTGAAGTTTTTCCATATATAAATGTAAAATGGAGGGAAGTAATTTAGATTTTACTGGCGCACAAAGCTACCTAAAGTTTCACTGTACTGCTGAAAAATTGGCATGTGATTTTCCCATAAGGAAAAATTTTTTAAGTAGGCAGAAATTTAAGTATAGCTCAGTATAATATGTCTTTATCGTACACTGTAAATAACATTTCAGTCTGTCATGTTATTTTTTGCGTAACTGATGCATCCTTGGTGTTTGTAATAAATGGTCTTCAGAATATTTTTAGCGATTTCTTTGCATAACATAAACTTATCTATTGGGATTCTAATATAAACACAGCAATTTGTTACTTCACACGAAAACGCTTTGACTACCATCCGGGCCCATGATGAGCACAATGACAGAGGTAAACATAGGTTAGCACTTTCCACCTAAAGAAAAGCGCGTGATTGACGATGCTTCATGTCACCTTCTCATAAACGAAACCTCTTTTGATTAACAATGACACACCCATACTGTACATTTTTAGACATTTACGAACTCGCCCATTCGTTATTTAGCCTACCTACTGGAGTTCTTTCAGAGAGCAATAGGGATTGTTTTTGTAATTCAAGTGTTGTCATAAAGCTGTCATCAAAAGCGACAAAAGCGACAAAAGCGGTAAAAGAAAAAAAATTCCTCGCCCTTTGCATCGGAGAGGAAATAGTCTTTTAGTTGCTGAAGGTGCTAGTCCGCGAAAAATCTCACTTACTGTCTTTCTCTTCGCATAGCATGGCACTTTCAGCAACAAACGTCGATTTTTGAAATACTGTGCTCTTTTTGCTATGGTGCTCTTTTTATAGAGGTCCGTTCCGGTACAAATGACATATTTACGTTTACATACACGTATGAAGGAATCTTGCAATTGACATTGTTCCACTTCCAAGTTGTTTTTACCTATCTGTAATTATAAATTTTTTTCTTTTTTTTTCCCTTTTTCGCTTATGATTACTATATCTTTTTTTCATGGTAGGGATAATCTTTAAAAAACAATTCAAACAATAGAGTAGAGTAGAGTAGAGTAGACATCTATATTTATACAGGATAGCCCCTTCAGTGTAGTGAACACTGGTATCAACGGGGGTCCTGTTAACCACCCATCCCACCCCAGGGGAGGACATCCATCACACAGTAATCTCGCGCGTGGGAAATTAACGTCTCCTGCCCCTAACCCTGCAGGAGACGGGACCTCCATTTATTCGTCCCTATCCGACTAGAATATCTAACCATTTCTTGATGTTATAGAAAGGAAGCAAATTCTTCACAATTATTTTAAGACCGTGAGTGTTGGTCCGGCCGGGGCTCGAAGCCTCGACCTCCCGCACAACAGTCCAGCGCTCTATCCATTGAGCTAACCGGGAGGCGGTTAACAATACCGTGAGTTCCATTTAATTTTTCATGCACTCTAATTACTTATTCGAGAATTTGATGTTTGTCCCATAAAGCCTTTTTTTTACGGAAACTCTTTTGCCGTGTGCTCGAAGCAAAACGATGGTCGAAAAAAAAGCAATCCATATGCCACCTCAATGGCACGTACTGCAATGAAGCTTAAATAATTATTCAAGCTGATCTTTCGTTATTTCACTGCGTTTAAAACCTGATTCCCGCTGTGATAAATCGAGTGATGTGGAATAGGAGAAAAACTCACCGTTATAAAAGTAGGATCCAAAGAAACCAGTAAAAGATAATTTATATTAGTCCTATGTAGAAACCGATTACGTCTTAATTCCATTGAGATTAAAGGAAAACGGTCCTGCAATGCAAGAAGCTAATATTTAATATCAATCCGTTTGGTGTTTTCCGTTACCTACCCAAACTTACTGACTACACGCGTACGCCAGAACCTAATGGCGTTTTAGAAGTATAAACGACTACAAAATAGAGGGTCACTAATATCCACATTGTAGTTAGTCTTTGAAAAACAAAGATAACACCAAAGGCCGCTCTACTGTGATTCAGCGAGATAAAAAATATCTGTGATCCAGCGAGATGCAAAAAGCGACCCTAAATTCTATAGTTTTGCTTCTTGCAGTAAGTTACTACCTTGGTTTCCAAATTTCATGAAACTACGGCTGGAGTTCCAATCTCTCTCTGCCCTGCAGGGAGGTGTCGAGAGACGTCACCCGTTTTCAGTTGAATCGAAAAGTCAGCTGTATTTACCAATCATGCAAATATCCGCTCTCTATTGAATTCAAGGCAATTAAGAGCTTACTTTGTACTGCCCCCTCAGGGAGGAAGGAGCCAAAAATATCATTTGAATCATAAACGATATTAATTTCAAGATCTAATAAAATCAATTCTATCATACTCACGTGAGATAAAAACAAGTTTTATTTTCATCAGAAAGGACCTCCTGGTGGCATTTCCAGAGTACTAATCGAGTAATATTTATTTTGGTAATATGATAATATAATAATAACATATATCAATTTCTACAGCGCATTTCCATGGAATGTTCTCATGTGCTTTACAACACTGTGCGGGGGACTTTTCCAGAGTGCTGGCGGCAGTTTACAATAAATAAAGAAGAAATTCTACAGATGTCCCCCCTCCCCCCCATTCCCAGTAACCAGACCAGACCACCTCACAGTAATTACGTGATGTGGGTTCTTTAACGTCCCCTGTCGAAATTAACTAATTGATAGATGCAGGAGACGGGACCTCCGGCTATACGTCCTATCCGAGAAGACGAAGCAATGTGAGTGAAGCGCCTTGCTTAAGGCCACAACGTCAAGCCCCGGGCCATCTGACCCAGAGTCCAGCGCACTGACCACTGTTGGTACAGTTTGGAACATTCTTGATGTAGAGTAAAAACAGAGAAAACGTTGATCTGAATATCTCCATATGTACACCGATTCTGGAACTGAAACCAAACACCTAATCGTATAAAATGTTCTAGTTTTTTAATATGTTAAATTCTCTGGGGGTCGGCTTCTACTTTTGATTGGGGCAATTTGTGATCGAAGCTCAAAAATCAGATATTGGATATTTTGGCGATATTTACATCTAATGTTTTCAACAACAAAAGTTTCAGACAAGTGGAATGTGCATAGCTTTGAGAGAATGTTATCTTCTGAGCAACATCTCGGAGAGAACTATTGCATCTAGCTGTAATATTTTAACAGAAATTGATCGGCTTTTACTTAGGACTACCGGACGTAACTACAAAATAACATGTACCTCAAGTCATATATTTACTTCCTTATAATGTTTGATTCTCACAGAGTCTCAATTCCTCGACTGCACAAATTATGAAAACGAAAATCATTCTGAGCGGAAAGTGATGCATACAAATGTTTTATAGTTAACAGTTATTCGTCGAAGGCGAAGTGAATATTGTCGAGTGAAAAGGTTAATGGGAAAATATCTTTGACGATTGGTGGTTAAAAACAAGTTGTTTAGACAGTAGAATGTTAAATTTAGCTATGTAGTTAAACGGTTAACATTTCGCAGTAATCGGTTTATGCATTTCTATTAAGTCATCAGCTTCTCCTCAATGCATACAATTTTGGAAATGTTTGAGTGAAGCAGTTTAAAAAAAATAATCAAATGAAAATTTTAGCGCAAAAACCGTGGCCCCCTTGACAACATCGTCACATTTGGAAAGTAAGACAGTTTGTATTTTTAAGATAGTGCCTAATCCAATCACATAACAAAATTAAGATTAATTTAGTACATGAGATTAAATCTTTTTCTTCGGACACTATATAATATCCATCACAGTACAAAGTTTTTAAACAATAAACCACTTTGAAAGAGCTTTGAATGCGTTTCCAGGATCATGCACAATAAGGAATCAGCTCCAAGTAGTTCAAAATAAAGTCTGCGGGCTTGTCGTATTGATTATTTTAGCAACTGTACTTTCTTTCAACTGACACACTTTATCGTGGTACACTGTTGAGTATCCCATTACATGTCCATTCCGCAAAAATAGAAGTAACTGGGGGCATTTTCGTCGGTGTAACACTCGAAAGCATTGTATACTGAACTACTATGTTTTCTTTATGCTATTAAAAATAGCTTTCAATCATTTTAAATACGAAAGCATTAAAGTCTTTTTTGATAATCGATTGTGATTTCAAAACGATATCCAAACTAATGCTAGGAATGTATGAAAATCATATATTTGAACTCCGGTTAAAGAAACGCACATGAGAACGATCTTCGCAGTGAGGAGCACTACTTAAGCAGTAGGGAAAATAAAACCTGAAAAAATTTCAGGCCTGTACGGGATCCAAACCCATGACCTCTGCGATACCGGTGCAGTGCTCTACTAACTGAGCTAACAAGCCAACTGGGAGTTGGTCATTATGATGGTTCCTAATAAACCTGTCAGATGATGGGTCAACTGCTACTTTCTACTTGGTGCATTACGTCAGACCAAACAGCAGACGATGGCAAATGGGGCAGCGGCGGCTGAAGGAAAAATGACAAAGAATGGCTGGACATCAGATCAGAAAGTAAAATAAAAGATAATCTCTTCAAAATAATAGCAATGCTTATCGCTCACTTATTACTAAGAACTTTTCGGGTGCACTTACACGCCATTCTGTATCGTGGTAAGAACGCACTCTCGGTGAACCTTGTGTGAGCATGGAAGGATCTGACAACCGCTGAACGTGTCCTGAAGATAAGAACAAGAAGTTAAGGATAAAAGCGACTTGTTTTGTCATTCATGCACCTAATTAATCATTGTCTTGATGCAGTCCTGAAAATGACTTTTGTAGGTTACAATAGCTAGTGTTGAGACAAATGCAGCGTACGACACTATGAGAGGGAAGGGGAACAATTAGTTCTTCGTTTGAGTGATCGATTAGATGATCTCAAAAGAGGACAAAAAGGAAGGGTTAAGCTACCAATTAGTGTTGACATTAAATCTGAATCACGTCAAAAAGTACTTCCTCTAAGAGAGGCAATATGATGGTATGAAGGCCCGTTGCTCAGACAGGAAACTTCGATTCATTTGCCGATACTTGGAAGTTCATGCATGAAGTACATGTGTCAATGATAATTTTATGGCACTACAATTAGACTCGTTCCCTGCACGTGAAGTGACCAGTTGAGGGCCGGTCGGTTCGCTAACGTGTCAGTTCGCCAACGAACAGTTCGCCGACCTAAGGGGTCGATTCGCCATCGTTTAATGTCAGTTCGCCAATGCTTATATGTCCGTTCGCCAACGTCTAAAATAATTGTAATTATAAAGACCAGAGGAATAAAATTTTGCTTTTGATGTATCCACGGGTGTTCGTAGATTAGTATCGCCAATAATAACTCTTAATGCGTTCATCGAACGTTTTTTGAAGCAGTTGCTAAAGTCAGGGATATTGATCTCAGCAATTACCTCTAAAAAAATAAAACACTCATCTTGTCCTGACTGTGAGCTGCATTTGGGTTTTTCTTCTCCTCTAAACAAAGGAAAAGATATAATTAGCCAGCTCGCGTATGAAAATTCCTTCATTCCCAAGCAGACTGATTAAGGAACAAACTGATTAATTAACGTTTAACATGAGTCAGACTGAGAAGACTGATGCAGCCAAAGGAGACCAAAGGCCGTGCATAAGTTCAATAGTCAACCTGCTTGTACTTACTTCTGTCTTGTAGAACCCTCGCCTCTTAAATTCTGAAATGAAATAAAAATATCCGTGAAAAGAATGATTTCAAGAATGACCGCTCCTGTTCTAGTCACCCATGTACGGAGAATATTTCACGGCCGCAACCAAGAGGCGTAAATTAATTCTTGTGCAAAATATTTTCCATTTCGCTTATCCGGCGTGGCCCCTAGAAACCGGTAATTACTTATCGCCTGGAGGTGGAGGGTGGACGGCGGAGGGTTTTGGATGTGTAGCAATAAAATGCACTTGACTCCCCTTCCCTCCAAGTCCACGAAGTATTCCCCATGTTACCCCCTCGTTAGCGTTCAATTTTCAAGAGCCCCCTATTTCCTTTCTTAGCGATGACTGATCCTGAAAACCCTGTGATCGCCAACCAAAATCCCCCGACCCCTCCCCGCCGGGTAATATATAATGACTGGTCCTTTAGTTAACTTGCCTCCTCACTCTGCTCATCAAAGTGACACAGAAGTACAGGAAAATTGTGCTGAGGCCACACGTCGACTTCCTGGAGCTCTCTTGCCTATCTTTCTCTCTTCTTACGTGCCCTTTCTGCTCGCATTTCTTGCTCTTTTCTTTTCTTTTCCTGACCAAACTCTTCCCTTTCTCTCTCCCTCAGCACTCTTTCCACTATGGCGCTCGCTTCTTCCAGTCTTCGTTTCATATCAAGCAGAGAGCTGCGATTGCTTGTGTTCCTCACTGAGCCGTCAGATTGACCAGAACGTTGATCAAAATTTTCTTCTGTATTGGTAATAACACCATCTCTTCCTCTGTTAGCGACAAGACCAAAGGGATCACTTCTTTAGTAAAATGCAAAACTGCCAGAATTCCTGACTGGTACCAAGAGACTACTTCTGTCCTTCTTACAATCACAAAATCAAACACCTTGAAAATTGCAAAATTCCCGCCAAATTAGGTTTAACCAGCAGCAGCATAAAATGTAACATCAACTTCGCTAAATTATAAACATTATTAATTATTACAATAATTATTACAATAATTAATTATTATAAGTGAGCTGAGCAAGTCAAAAGACTTACAAGTATCTCTGTCTGCCACATCCTCTGCAAATGATGTCTCCTAAAAACTGAAAAAAGCAAACAAATTCTTTAATAAGACATTACAAATGGGGTGTGTCTCATCTATCGGTTGGCAGTTTTTATATTTTTAAATATCGCTGTTACTCGCTTGAAACTGCCGCAACTTTCCCCGAGTAGGGCAAGGAAAAACGATCACCTGATTAATTTAGAAGGAAATAAACAAAATAAAAACATTTTAGTCACCTCATTAAGGCTGCATGAGCACAAAGATCCAGGAACTGCCTCTTGCCATTCTCTCCATCCATTAGATCTTATCTCCCCTCTTTCTCTTTCTCTCGTCTCTCTATTTCTTCTGATTCTAATATCTGTTTCCCTTCTGTCCTGGTCCATTCGAAATCGTTCCCGCTGTTTTTTTTCCTGCATCACCCTCTTCATTTTGTCTGTTGCTCTGGCAACTCCTTGGACCAATGCTATAGGACTGTTATTGGTCGAATCTAAAGACTCAACATTCCAGGGTCTTATGCTCAGTGGATATAATGCTAAAACGTTTGTATCTGGAGAGTTCGAGGAGAAGACTACAGCCGGAGGGGAACCTGCTGCAGGCGAGTCGTTAGCAATGCTGTTTGACCCTGCAATCTGGAAAATGAAACGAAATAGGATAATTCTAAAAAAAAATTTTGTCGTATAGATGGGTTAGCTTCCATTTTATTATTTTATTCTATTCCATTTTAATCGCTTGGAATGCTTGTTTTTGTGTCGTAGTTTTAAGAGAAATAGATTGAAACAGTGTAGATACCTCATTAATCTATAAGCTGTATCTGTTTCATGTAGAATTTAAATCGGCAGTATTTTTCTGCTCATAATACCGTTGGGGGACAGTTTTCGTGAGTTTATTTTTCAATTCCCTAAAGTAACTTTTGTCATATGGGAGGGTCTCAATGGGGTTAACCGTCAATCGTCAATCGGACCAAAACATTATCCGTCAACTGTCAAAAACGCAATATTTTTATCGTCAAACGTCAAATTAGCAAGCCAGTGTTAGCCGTCGGATGTCTCAGATATCCTTAATTAAGAATTAAACGATTGCCTTAATTGGGGTCAAGTTCTCTTGTTTATGACTAAAAGTTTTGATATATCGCAAAAATACATTTATGTATTTTATGAAACACTTCCGGTATCTTAAAACGTTGGTCATTCAATAAAAAAAAGGTGTTATACTTAACAGCTCTTTATAAACGCGTCATTATGAAAACTTACAGCCAAATTCGCGCGTTCAGCTCGCTTTATAAATGATATTCCAAAAAATTATCTATCAACCGTCAAATTATCTAAAAATTTAAACGTCAACCGTCAAAAGGGCTTATTTTTAACCGTCAACCGTCAACGTGACAAATTCCCTCCCCCCTACTCCCCTTGAAACCTTCATATAGGGAATAAAAAGTGACCGAGCTTGTGTAATTGAATTAGCCGGATCATCTGGGCTCGTTGCTGTTTCGGTTTTTAGGTTACAGTCAATGAAAGGTGCGATCTCAGCTTCAAGCTTCTTGATTCACTCGTGGCCACGCCCTTTGTGCCCGAGCCTATCGGCCACGTAGTCCCGGACAAGCAATATCAGTCTCCTGAATTAAAGGCTGAACACTCCTCATTGTGTTGTAATCAATCTTTCTTACCACTGCCCCCATCTCTTTGACATGGTCATGGCGAGAACCATTTTGATTACAAGAAGTAAGCTCAAGGCGTACGGCAAGGTCTGTCGTATGTCTGGCCACGAAGCAGTCTGCTAATCTGTTAGTTTCTTTTTCCATGATAGATGTATCTGCAACTTAATGAAACCAATGCTGTACTAATAGAAGCAGAGTAGGGAAAATGAACACCGTATCTCCCTCGCGCTCGCTTCACACTTTATCGAGTGAGATATTTCAAACAAATATACGAACATTCAGGGAAACTAGATCGTTACAAGCGTCGAGAAGTTTTGAAACAATTCCCTAAGTCGCTTCATAAAGCTGGCAGAAGCGGTTCCAGCTGTAAAGGATTAGTATGCTTATGAAACTGTTAAAAGAAGAAGAAGAAGTTTAAAAGTTGAGCACAAATACCTGGCCCTCGCCGTTCTTATCTTGTGATGCAGCTGGATGATTCTTGTTGATTGACTTTCAGCCGATGAAATGAGTAGCTTGTACTTGCCAAAATAAACTTTAAAGGTCGGCACACACGAGGGGACTAGTCCCTGCGACTAGTCACAGCGACCAGTTTCATGCGACTAGTCCCTTCGTGTGAACTACACATTTCTGTGGTCGCAGGGACCAAAATTTGGTCCCCGCGACTGGTCGCACGAATTCAAACNCGACTGAATAAGTGTAGTTCATTTGCGTTGATGTTTAATAGTGCTACAATGAAAAGTTGCCAAATTTTCATTGTTTTCGTGTAACGCCCCAGACTAAGAAACATCTTTTGCCTCTTAATTTTCCTATGTTCTTGTGCAATTGAGTGCCCTCGTGTGAACACCTTAAGGGACTAGTCCCTGCTACCGGTCCCCTCGTGTAAACCCTTCAAAGACTTGTCCCCGGGACTAGTCGCACGGACTAGTCGCAGGGACTAGTCCCCTCGTGTGTGTCGACCTTAAAGCTCTTTCTGCAGCCGCCTTCTGCAATGCACAAACAATGAAAGATAATCTTTAACTTACTAAAATGCTAAGTTTGCATCTTATACATTTGGCTCTCATTCTTTTGAAATGTTTCCGCATTCAAAACAGTTCTTTTTTAAACTTAAGAGCGGGTTGTTCGTTGGAGTTTTTTTTCAAGTTTCCTTTTTGTAAATTTTAACGAACAGCGTTTTTCAAGTATATACAAGCAGAATAGTCAACATTTTCGCTTTTGTTTTTAATTAATTGTGTCCGAGTTAGAAAAGACTTTCTAGGTAACAAAGTAAGATTACAGTTTGGTAGGAATATCTCTTAGACCTTTAATAGTAAGCGAGTCGCTTTTTCCTGCGATTTGATGGCGGAGACAATACATAATGTCATGTTAAGTTCTCACAATCAAGTGAACAGCCATTGGAAACGTTGGGGCATTACAGCGGAGAAATATCTCGACATTATGGCAACGTCACCCCTACCAAACATAAAGGTCGGCACACACGAGGGGACTAGTCCCTGCAACTGGTCGGTGCGACTAGTCCCGGCGACAAGTCTTTGAAAGGTTTACACGAGGGGACCGGTAGCAGGGACTAGTCCCTTAAGGAGTACACACGAGGGCACTCAATATTGCACAAGAACATAGGAAAATTAAGAGGCAAAAGATGTTTCTTAGTCTGGGGCGTTACACGAAAACAATGAAAATTTGGTAACTTTTCATTGTAGCACTATTAAACATCAACGCAAATGAACTACACTTACTCAGTCAGATTATTCATGCTTTTATGTGTTCCTTTTTTGTTTTTGTTTTTTTATTTTTAACAGACACATAGTCAAATAGGATAAAAATTCCATCAAAACGGCTTCAAGTCATCTGTATATGTTTACAAAACCAGAAATAGTTTTTTATTCTTCAGTTGTAGAAATCTAGAATTCAGGGAAAATTCATAGAAACTGCAATGTTTACAAATACCGGAAGTCACGCACCATACTGACCCGTGATTGGCTCTTTTACCGTTTAGTCGCAGGGACTGGTCGCACAAACAGTTCACACAAAGGGACAAACATTGGTTTCATGCGACAAGTCCCTGCGACTGGTCGCACGAATTCAAACCGATTTGAATTCGTGCGACCAGTCGAAGGGACCAAATTTCGGTCCTTGCGACCAGAGAAATGTGTAGTTCACACGAAGGGATTAGTCGCATGAAACTGGTCGCTGGGACTAGTCTCCTCGTGGGTGCCGACCTTATCAATTTTAAGCGGCAAATGCGCCGGATTCTCTTCTATCTTAGAGCTGAATACGTCAATTTAAGGGAGAAATTTTTACAATCTGATTAAGATGTCTTGAAAGTCAGTGTTAAAAACTCCTGGTATACATCCCTTCAAGGCATTACGAAAGTTATCGCACAAAGTTAATACCTGATTGCACTATATCGACTGGATAAGGTCGCACTAGTTTAAAAGGACATAAATTTTAAAAATATAGTTACCTCGTGAAACAGATTTAAGAAGTTTGCCTGTAAAACCTGACTGACCGGGTACACATCAACTAAAAACTGCCTTAAGCATTATACAGCATAGCTAGCATCACTGAGTGACATCAATTCTCGTATGCCTTAATTACAGGATGTGGAGTCTTTTGAATTTGGGAATTCAAGTGGAACTGCTGAATGTGCTCATGCCCGTTTGTTGATAAAATACCAAAATTTCACACTATTTCCATGTGTCTTTGCACAGTTCATGCATCAGTTTACTCGTACTTTAGCTTCTTAAAATAGTGGAGTTGCCAGAACCAAGACTACTTTTCAAAATGATTTTCAGTTGTCACATAGTAAAGTCATGCGTGACTGTCAAGACATTGTTTGCTAAGAAGCTTCACTGATACATGTACTACCGAATCCAGAGCTACCACATCATAAGTATTGGAACTCAGTGTAGGCTCAAGAACAGTCAAGGAATAAAGATTGTTGAGATGTCCTCATATTACCGTGATCTGTAAAAATTTCACAGATAAAACCATTTCTTTAGAGTCACAATACACGTAAATTATCCGCGATGGTTTTAGTTTTTAACGTAAGGAAAGAAGTTTTAATGGAGGGAAATATATCATCCACTCATCAGAATTAGATACTATCGCCTTTATATTTTCCATATTTCAATAACTGAATTGATGGACTTGCTCAAACCACAGTGCAAACGCGCTGATACATCTTAGCCTGCCAGCAGGCCCGAAAGGCATCTGGGAGAGTATCACAGATACAGCCTTTACAGACCTCTCGCCGGCTGGTATTGCTCAAGACGTTACACTTATTCGCGGGTGAAAAAAGGCTCGGAATGGTACCGAAGCATAAGTAATGAATGCAGTCTAGCTTCTCGCGGATAGATGCATCTTGACAACTCTACGAGACAAACTGATCTGTTACGATTCACTCGCAGGTTAATGAATGACGTGGATAGACGGCCATTACGCAGGAAGAAGATAAATTAGGTCGGCTTCTTTTGATTACTTAACGGAGCTAAAGGATTGTAGGTGACGACAACTCTGAGCTCTTTTTTTCTACTAAAATTGCCAATGGAAAACTTGCGAATCAAATACTAATTAAAGACCAGATTCTGATATATACGTCAGGTTTAAAAACCGTTAGACGCCCGTGAAAGTTTAGAACTACAAGTAGATTGACCTGCATAGCTTATAATCATGTTTAAAATCTTAAACTGAAGTGGAACAAACATGAGAGTTAACCTTCATATATGACACGTTCAAGCACATTTGTTATCTCTTGTTTAGGCTTCTACTGAACCGACTTTAATTGCTAGGATAGTGATATGACTTGAGATGATCAAGTGACGACTGACGTCACATTTCCACCCACAAGAAAGTGCCTATTTAGTGAACAGATAAAAGCTGTTTTTAATTAGTTTAATCATTATTTTCCGTTCGGCTGCACGTCAAAATGATTTCAATTATTGACTTTTGAACCAAGTGAGATGATAGAAGGTGCCAGAGTCGAGACTACTAACCACGTGTATCACTCTGCGAGATTTCACAAGCGTGACTGTCGAAACCATGTGCATTTCAACACTGCCAGCCGTGACCTTCAATTAAAATGAGGAAACAAACAGAGGAAGAATACTCTCGAGGACAAAATACTGCACAGGGAGCTCCGTCAAAACTCTTGACCAATTAACCAATTAAATCCTATGAGAATTCGTTTTTATTTATTTTTTTTTAGGAAAATTAATGTGGCCTTCTCTTACGATTTTTAAAAACAAGCATTTAGTAAAAAATGTGACATGTGCGCTAAGATTGGTTTCAGATATTGATATTCTGTGACTATAGTCTTCGCTTTCTCTCACATCAGCCATTCTATCACAGTCTTCACGGGCTACATATCCAACAGAGCTATTGACAGAAAAAAAAAAAACCCTACCGAGCTTATTCAACACTTTCAAAACAAAGAATTCGGAGAGCTCAGACCAAAACTGGTCATAAGACAGGTGTCTGTGGCTACTTGCTGATGGAACATATCAGTAGATTGCTGACATATAAAAATGGTCATGGTGTTCACAATGATCCTAAAATTCCTTACAAATCCCATCTTTCCGACAGTTTCTGATACCCAGAATATCCAAATATAATCGATTAGTTGCCACTAAGGGTGGCCAGACGACAGGAAGCAAAACGCGTGCACTGTAAGTACCTCCCGTTGTCCCATACAAAGCCTTAGAAAACTTTTCTAAGGCTTTGTATGGGATTTTTTTCAGGAGTATCTGGTAACGCTCCAGGTTGCTTCATTATGCTTACCGCAAGGCGTCATAATCTCGCCGCTTTGTGACAGAAATGTCGTTTAACTATAAATTAAACCAGAACACCAACAGAACTATGCATGTCTCAATTTTCCGATGAAGGAGTGTTACGCATCAATGACCCGTCATCGCTTGTCAAACTTTGCAATGACTTCCACTTACGTAATCGGCGCAGGATGTACATTATTATACTACTGATGAGGTAATAATAAATAAATCTGATCTTAGGGCAATCCAGCAGCAAAACACCCGCTATCGCCG